GAACATTAGCCATAAGGGAAAAAAAGAAAATGTCAGGGACAGTGCCCAGGCCCTGAGTTCAAGCCACACAACCAGCACCAAAAAGAAAAAAAAAATCACTGCAGACTAGCTTGGAGTTTATATAGCTTGGGTAATGACTGCTGTTCGTTTGCTCTGTAAACATGAATATTTCTTGTGCTGTAACTGTTCTGAATAGCAAATTCGCAGGGACAGAATCCACCAGAACCATAAGGTCAGGCCGACATTCTGGAAATAAATATGCACAGGAGTGATATACTGAACCAACCATTGTGTTACATATATTTCTCGCTGTTAAATCTCACACAAGGGATGTTGGCAGATTTATCAAATCCTTTAATTAAAGGACTGAGAGCATATGAGTAACACTATTGATGGGAATCTTAAAATAAAAACACTGGATTAAACTCTCTTCTCCCAGCTTTTCACTACAGAAGTTTTTAATTTGATTCAAAATATATACATATTATTTCTCTTTCTGATTCTTAAGTTTTCTTTTCTTTTCTTTTTGAGGATGGTTGTTTTTGCCTAACTAAAAATCTAACTATGATTGTCCATTTATCACACAGTGGGAATAGAATTTCTTTTATCTCCTATTTTGAAAATAGAAGATGTGGCCTTCTAAAGGAAAATTCAGCACCGTCTAGAGATGAATTCAAGGAATATGGTCACTTCAATATATTTTATGTATTATGTCTGAGTTAATTTTGTCTTAAGGGTTTTTTAATATTTAATTTTTAAGTAGCACGATGCAATTTATGAATTTACAAGTACAGTGTTTTGGTGTTGCTGCATGTTTGGGTCTATGTTTGTTTTGGGTCTCCTATAGCTCAAGCTGTCATTGAACTCATGATCCTCCCGTCTCTGCCTCCCAATTTCTGGGATTACAGTTATGCGCTACCATAGCTGGGTCAGTGTTTTATGGTGGCATATGGCAAATCTATACAATGGGTAATGATCAGATCAGGGTATCTGGACCACAGCCTGTCTGCCTATTACCTGTTGAATGTCCAGGTACCTCAGGCCTGTCTATGGGCTGTAGGAGATATTTCCAATACAAACCAAAGAGTTCAGGTTGGATAGTGCGTGAATCATGAGAAAAAAAAAATATTTCAGCTGGGTGCTTGTGGTTCATACCTCTAATCCTAGCTATTCAGGCAACTGCGCACTGAGAATTGTGGTTTAAAGCCAGCCTGGGCAGAAAGTCTTTGATATTCTTCTCTCCAATTAAGCATCAAAAAGCCAGAAGCAGAGCAGTGACTCAAGTGATAGAACACTAGCCATTTTGAGCAAAAAAGCTCAAGGACAGCAAGCGCCCAGGCCCTGAGTTCAAATCCCAGAACAGGTACACACACACAAATTCATAAAGAGAACTTTTTACTAAACCAAAGTAACCTGTGGGTATTTTGCAGAGAAAAATTGACCAGAGAGGATAGTGTGAGTCTTGGCCACTCTGAGCTCTGTGGGTGATTATGGACATGTTAAGATGATCTACCGTCTTCTTACAGAGTCTAGGTATCATTTGCTTTTGAAGCCAGATTGCTGCTTTGGAGAAAACATTGCAGATGGGCGGTATGGGCTGTCCAGGGCACAGGGCTGTGGTTTAGGCCATTTGAAAATGGGACTATTGCCCTTCCAGGTTATAGGGCTATGCCATTGGCCACTTTTTCCTGTCCCCCATCGATGGCGCACTGTTGGGTACACACAAACCCAGAGCATTTAAAGAAATCAGGACTTGCCAGAATGACATTGATACACAGGCCAGGCATGCAGTGGTATTCTTTAGTTGTGTTTGCTTTCATTTTTTATTTTCAGGGAGGCAACTCCAAAGATGTTATATTCAAGTTCACTCCTGTACTTTCTCAGGCTAGTGTGAGGAACGAATCACGTGAATGATTATTATAATGGCCTTAGGTCACAACTAAAAACCCACTTGGTCATGGTTCGTCTTCCCAAGCTCTGTGGGCAACAGGCACACAGAGGAAACTGAGGCACAGGGAGATGCCCACGCTCACTTGTTCTCTTCATTCCCCAGACCCTTTCCAACAGTGTCTGTAAGAAGGGAAGCACTAGTTCTTGGAAGTGTGAGTAGGAAATTCGGCGTGCATGTGCAGTGATCCTGTGGAGAGGCTGTGAGATGGTATGGGTGGGAAATGCTCCCAAGCCATCATTTCAGTATGGGGGCTAAATGCTTCTAACCCTTGTTTCTGTCTAAAGAAAGCATGTGATGTCATTAGTTCTTTCCTTCAAGAGGCTGGGCCCTTGGCGCTGCTGACATAAAACAGTCTTGTCTTCCCTGGTGAAGCAACAGGTAGGCATGCTGCTCAAGTGCTAGGCCAGCGGTCAGGAGTGTTATCTCTCTGATTTCTCTAAATTTTTTTGCCAGTTCTGGGACTTGAACTTAGGAGCTGAGTGCTGTCTCGAGGATTTTTTTTTTCTCAAGGCTAGCACTCTACCGCTTGAGCCACAGCGCCACTTCCAGCTTTTTTTTTTCTGCTTATGTGGTGCTGAAGAATCAAACCCAGGGCCTCATGCATGCAAGGCAAGCACTCTACCACTAAGCCACCTTCCCTGCCCTCTTCTCTAATCTTGATGTCACTTTTTCTTTGGCTAGACAGGCTGCTTTGGCCTGACTATCAGACCACTCACAATCTCTTGAGCTAGAAAATGTCATGTCCTAAGCTTCTTAAATAATATGCCTTTACTCTCAGCTCTTGTTTACATCCTTTCTGGAATACAAACCAAAGAATGAAGGAAAAACATTCTGGAATAATTGCCATTCACTTGTAAGTTACTTGGTTTTCCTCACTGACGGTGAAGATGACCAGGACCTATGTTGAAGGCCACTTATGCCATAGAAACAAGACCTTTTGTCATATCCATAAAGTGGCAGCCACAGGTTCCATTTTCTTAGCCTGGCCCTCATAAACAACTGATCAGTAGACAGGCTGAAGGAACATTCGATGCATAAGAGCGCTGGGTATTTTATCTCGGGTTAAACATGTGCTTATAGGCTGTACTAAAGGCCATGGTATGCTCTATCTACTGTCTAAGGAGAGATTGTGGAGATTGTCATATAGGTTCAAAGATGGCTATCCTCACATTCTGGGCTGTGCTGATCTCCTGAGTAGCTAGTATGAAGTATGCCAGATATTTTTTTAATTCTGTTGTAAAGGTGAATACATAAAATCTAGTAGAAGAACATTTGCATACAGGAAACCCCTCATCATCAGGTTCTTCTTCCTGAGCATCTTTCTCTAGGTAGGGTTCAGAACATGAATGTCTCCCTGCTTTGTGGTGCCATCTTGGAGAGACCCTTAGCTCAACGTCATCTCCTGTCATTGTTCCTCTTCTGCCTGACTGAATCTATATTCTTTTAATTCCTTCCCCTCCCCACCAACTGTTGAGTAGATAATTATACATTTAAGTCCTGCTGTTTGTGGAGATCATATATTTGGGGGGGAGAGAGAAGACTTGATATAGGAACTGAATGGCACCTTTGAAAGTTGGGCTTTGAAAGGAGAATCCAGGCAAAAGCACATTCCAGCTGTGTCGCCCCGCTGAATCGGGAACAAATTATAGAGACAGTGTGGATGCCAGGTGGACCTCTTGAATCCCTGTCACTTACATGCTGTGTGGGGTTGAGCAAATTCCTTTAGCTCTTTCCGTCTGTAAACTAGAGACCTGTAATAGAGTACCTAGCTCCAAGTGTTATTTCAGGACCGAATTCAAGTAAATCACTTTGTACCCTGTGCATGACAATGTTCAACAAATACTATTAGTAAAACATTCATAGAGGGAGAAGAAAAGACATACTGGGATTTCTTTTGGGCTTGAACTCAGTACCTGGGTGCTATTCCCTATTTTGCTGAAGGCTAGCTCTTTATCCCTTACTTGAACCACAAGTCGACTTCTGGCTTTTGTTTCATTTCATTTTGCTAATTAATTGGAGATAGTCTCACAGCCTTTCCTGCCTGGTCTGGCTTAGAAATGTGATCCTTTGCCAGTTGCTGGTGGCTCATGCCTATCATCCTAGCTACTCAGGAGACTGAGATCTGAGGATCCCAGTTCAAACCCAGCTGGGGCAGGAAAGTCTGTAAACCTCTTATTTCCAATTAACCACCAGAAAACCAGAAGTGGTGCTGTGGCTCAAGTGGTAGAGCACAAACCTTGAGCTGAAGAACTGAGGGACAGCATCCAGACCCCGAGTTCAAGCCCTACAACCCACAAAAAAAAAGAAGAAGAAGAAGAAAAAAAAGAAAAAAAGAAAGAAACATGATCCACTGATCTCAGCCTCCTGAGTAGCTGGGATTATTGGTGCAAGTCTCTGGAGATTGACAAGACTTGCTGGGGTTGTTTTTTGTTGGTGGTGGTGGTGGTTTGTTTTTAATCTTTAAGTAGTTGTACAAAGTCGTCCAACCCCTCCTTCCCTCACACATCTGTTTTGTAGGATATACGTTGAGATCGTGCCTGTATTCTCTCCCTCTTTTCCTCTCCATTTGTCTATTCCACCCTTTCTTTTGGGCCCCCATCCCCACCCCTTCGTGTACCTACTTCCTGGTGTTCATTTTTAATTTGCATAAAACTTTCACTAGGCAACCTTGGGCTGGTCCTCCTTGAGTACGACCTAATCATAGCCTTGAGTGTTTTGTTTTTACAGGATTTTTAAGTCATTGTAAAAAGGTGTTTTTCAATTCAACCTGTTCGTTTATGGGATCAAGTTTATGGGACCAAAGGATCAAGTGCGTCTTTCACCCTTTCCACCTTTCTTTCCCATCTCTCCCAGCCCGCCCATCCCCTCGAATTACGTGGTTCCATTTTCACATACGTATATTGAGTATTATGACTGTATCCTCCCAATCCACGTTTCCTCAATCAGCTCCTTCCTAGGAGGGATGCGGGAGGGCCTTGTCTAGAGCTCTCTGACTGCACAGCGATTAGCACTGACCAGCCTCCTCGTTCTCCTTTATTACTTCCCTCAGGTGCTAGAAAGCTTCAAGATCATGGACTACAGCCTTTTGCTAGGAATCCATGTCTTGGACCATTCTCTTAAAGACAAAGAAGAGGAACCTACCCAAAACATGCCTGATGCAAAGCGCCCCGGGGTGCAGAAAGTGCTCTACTCAACAGCCATGGAATCTATTCAGGGTCCAGGGAAATCTGGAGATGGGATCATAACAGAGAACCCAGACACGTAAGAGCAGCCCTTGAATACAAACCAACTACCCCTCCCCCTCCGCCCCAGCCCCCCTCACCCCCTCAGCCAGTAATTCCAAGCAATCACACCCCCTAGTGGATTGTTGCTGGGTGTGAATGTGGATTAAACCAGCCTTTCTCTTTCGTCATCTGGATTAGTGAGTAGCAGTTTCCCGGGCATTCTTTCACAGATATGGTTTATTCCTTCCAAATGGCTCCATTTTTACATCATGGCTGAAAATTATCTCCCCACTTTTTAATACCATAAGGGAGAAGAGGATGCTTTGAATGAACACGTATGCCGGTTTCTTTTGAAACTGGGTGTTTATCTGCCTGAAGGAGACTTGGTTGATCTGGTCCTGTGCCCTGGCAGATCTGGACTACCTCAGCCAGACATCATAACCACTGCCAGATTAAACTGTGATAAGTGTGTATTGTGTACAGAAACAATCTCAACCCACGAAGATTAACGGGATGGTTGACTGCCTCTCTAGCTGAACAAGGAGACTAAAAGAAGAAATGACTTCCTGTAGCTGGAAAATGCCTGCCTTCTAGGAATTCCCCGGCAGTGACTAAGCCACACACATATTTCTCTTTTATAGAGGAAGTGAGCATGCATTAAGTCCTTTTTAAAATCCTTCCTGAAACTCCAACAGCATGTTCAATCACCACGTGAAAACTAGTCTGTGAAATATTACGCAACTCTTTTTTTTACTATACTGTATGGTTATTGTGGAGGTGATGTTCAGAGGGGTCACAGTTACATAAGTCAGGTCATGAGGACATTCCTTTTTGAACCATGTCACCCCTTCCCTCGCTCTCTCCCAGTTTTTTCCTCCTGTCCTCACCCACAAGTTATATAGTTCATTTTCCACATAGTATCTACTGAGGACCACTGCTGTTTTTGTTCCCCCTTTGTCCCATCTTTTCTGTCTCCCCTTACCCTCCCAAAGACAAATAAACTTGGTGCTGGCACAACTTTTTTTTGTTTGTTTTTGAACTCTGGGCCTGGGTGTTGGCCCTCAGCTCTTCAGCTCAAGGCTAGTGCTCTACCACTTGAGCCACAGTGCCACTTCCAGTTTTCTGGTGGTTAATTGGAAATAAGAGTTTCATGGACTTTCCTGCCTATGCTGGCTTTGAACTTCGATCCTCAGATCTCAGCCTCCTAAGTAGCTAGAATTATAGGCATGAGCCACCGGCGCCCAGCAAAAATTATTGCTCAGTTTTAAAATAAGACTTTTTGTCTTGTTTTTTATTTTGGTAGTACTGGGATTTGAACTCAGGCCTTTGCTTTTTGCTAGGCAGGTGCTTTACCACTTGAGCCATACCACCAGGCCTTTTCTCTTTGTTTTTTTTGTTTGTTTCAATACTGGAGTTTGACTTCAGAGCCTCCCATGGGCTAGGCTGTCAGGATTTCACTACACCAAACCTCCAGCCCTATTTTTCACTGATAATTTTTAGGATCAAGTCTTGGTTAGCCCTTGACTGAGCTGTGATCTACTCCTACAGGCTTCCTTTCCATTGTCACCGAGATCACAGGTGTACACCACTATGTCCAGCTTCCTTTATGGGGAGATAGAGTCTCTCAGAGCTCTCTGTCTGGGCTGGCCTAGTACCCCAATCCTCTCAGTCTTGGCCTCCCAAGTACCTTGGGAAGATAGGCATGTGTCACTACATCCAGCCGCAGGTTAAAGAGGCTCCCATTCACTTCTCTGCTTGACCTAACCTCCAACATCAATCTTCCCACTCTCAGTTTCTCAAGTAGCAAGGGTTACAGGTGTGAGCCACTGGCCCATGACTGTTCCTTTTATTTTTGAGATAGGGTCTCACTTTTTGCCTAGACTGACCTGGGCTTCAATCTCCCTATTTGTACTTCTTGCTGTACACCAGATTACAAGCATTTTCTGTTACAAGAGTCCTGAAAACTGTTTTGCCGAGGCAGGCCTAGAACTATGATCCTCCCAACCTCTGCCTCCTGAGTAGCTGAAGTGACAGGCACACACCACCATGCCAAGCTATTGGTTAAGATGGGGTCTTGAGAACTTTTACCCTCCCAAGTAAGCTAGGATTATAGATGTGAGTCACCAACCTGGCTTAGATAGGAATAATTCTGAAGTTGCATTCTTCCCATCCAACTCCACAGCTTGGACAGCTGTGAGGTTCTACTCCTTGTGGAGATTCTGGGAGCATTTGAAACGATGGGAAAAAAATAAATGATTGTGGTGAGAGCCTCAACTTTGAATTTGTAGATGATAAACTATTTTCTATGTCTCTGCCAACAGGATGGGAGGCATTCCCGCTAAAAGCCATAAGGGAGAAAAACTACTTTTATTCATGGGCATTATTGACATTCTACAATCATATAGGTGAGAAATTTTTGCCAAGTGCCCTTTTATTACTTCAACATGAGTCTTTTTTAAAGTTTCTGAAAATTCACCAACTAGGAATGATTTTACATTCTCTGTTCCTTTTGCATGTGTTTGCATTCAGGTTAATGAAGAAGCTAGAACATTCCTGGAAAGCTCTTGTTTATGATGGGGTAAGTGACCCATGTCTTAGTTCAGATGCACACACTTCTCATTTTTCAGGATTGCCCAGTGTGCCTAAAAGAAGGCCAGAGTAAACTCAGAATTGTAGGCTAGAAGATTGGTTCAAAGCTAAGAACAGAGCGCACAGAAATTTGAATAATGATTTGAGCAAATAACATCCAGCCTTGTGGCCAAAGAGGGACAAGGAATAGAGAATATTGACTGGCTCTGCAAAGGTGTTCTTCATAAGATAGTGGAGAGAGAAGAGATGAATACTTTTTCAGGAACGGTAGGAAATTAGGCTGGGTGCTTGTGGCTCACACCTGTTATCCTAGCTACTCAGGAGGCTGAGATCTGAGGATCACAGTTCAAAGCCAGCCTGGGCTTAGAAAAGTCTGTGAGACTCTTTATCAATTAACCACCAGAAAACCAAACATAGAGTTGTGGCTTCAAGTTGTAGGGTGCTAACCTTAAGTAAAAGAGCCCCAGGGGCAGCACCCAGATCCCTAAGTTCAAGTCCCACAACTGACAAAAAATAAAAATTAAGTTCTCAGAAGCTCAAGCTACAGAGGGAGGAATTTAAGGCCTACTTTGAGGGAAAGCAGCCCTGGATTTGAACTCATTTTCCAGACTTGGCCTCTACTTAGGGGCCTGGCAATAGTACCCTCCCTTATTTGTGATGGTGATGGATAATGCAGTCCGGGCTCAATTGCAGTGGCTGACAACACAATAAGGGCATAGAAAGTGAAAATGTTTGAGTGTGGATTTATGCACACACACACACACACACACACACACACACACACACGCACCTGCACCCATGCACACACATATGTGCACATGCATGGTTGCATCTTGATGATGCATTTGAACTTCCTGCTGCTGACAAACCATTTATTGGCCTCAGCATCCCTCTTGTAATGACTGGATGTGACATTTGCAAAGAATATATCGGTCAGTGATGTGGCCACAGTTCCCTGTAAGATATGTGCTGACACTTCCCTTTGAAAGAGGATACATTACAGATACCATTCTTCTCCTTTCTGGAAAAGAACACACATTTCTCAGCTCTGTGGAAGAGTCTGAATAACCTTTCAGCATGAAAGATCTATATTTTGTCCATGGACTGATAACTGACTTTTAAAATGAATGTACTTGTAAACAGGCTTACAAACTTGTATTTCAGCGTTAACCCTGGGCTCATTCACATCAAAGACTCGGCCTATGAAAAGGTCAAGGTAGTTAGTTAATTTTAGTTGTTTTTCCAGCTGAAAAAGGTAAAGATTACATAGCACCTTGACCTTGGAAGGGAGAGGCAGCAAATCTCCTCCTGAGTCCTTCCCCTGCTGGTTTTTCAATGACTTAACTCTCACCTATCACAGGTGAGATTTCTGACAGCAGTGGCTGAATCCGGCCCTGGCCTGCTCTGCTTCAAACAGACCTTCTGTTTTTGTTTTTGTTGTTTTCATATTTGTGTGTGTGGTTTGGTTTTGTTTTAGAAAATCCCTGCTGATAACACACTTGGGAGATTGTAAGCAGTCATCGGGAATTGTTTTGGCTTATTAATCAATGCAGCTCTTATTCAGAAGTATTTCTTTATGACAAAAAGAAACAAACAATCTTCTTCTTTAAAGGCAGCACTGTGAAGTCCCTAGCAGCCTGCTGATATTTCTAAACTCCAGAAATAATGAGAAGGGGTCCAGATCAGGCGGAAGTTACAAGATTGTAGGAAGTATATGTAACACCAGGGTAAATGTCCTGTCACATCCTCCGTCTCCAGAGAGTCTGCAGGCTTTATAATGTGGCTGAAGAAGGGTCCTACACACTGCACCCTTCCTAACACTGTGGCTATAGAATGTCAGATTACCCCCAACTAAGAGCACATGGGTGTCTTATATAACAGCCCATTTCACAGATGAGGAAACAGAGGCCCTGTGACTCTGACTGTGCCCAGAATCCCACAGCCTTTTTCAAGTTAGTACTCACACCAGAACCAGGTCCCTTGATGCCAGTTCCATCCAGCAGATACCCGGGTAATGAATGAAGAAATGCACATACAGTGTCATTTCATAATCTTTTAACAACACCCTAGGCCAAGAAATGAATCTGAGAGACGTGGTTAAACTGAAGATTTCTTTCCCATCCTCCACTTTTATAGGCTCAGATTGTCCTGGGGCTAGCTTAAAGGAATTATGAGAAAAGAAACAAAAAGTCATATTCCAAGAGGTAGATAACAAGAAATCAGGAATTTTTTTTTTTTTTTGTCATTCGTGCGGCTTGAACTCTGGGCCTGGGCACCATCCCTGTGCTCTTAAGCTCAAGTCAAGCGCTCTACCACTTGAGCCATAGCACCACTTCCGGTTTTCTAGTGGCTTTATTGGAGATAGGAGTCTCTCAGATGTGCCTGCCCAGGCTGGCTTTGAACCTCAATCCTCAGATCTCAGCCTCCTGACTAGCTAGGATTACAGGCGTGAGCCACCGGCACCCAGCTGGAAATTCTAAGATAAGTACTTACAAGGAATCCCTTGATCTTTTGACAAGATTACTACAGAAGGTCAGACACTCATAATCCCATGTCTCTCCTTAAACATATCATAAGGACCCACGCAACCAGCAGTTTTCTGCTTGGATCAGCGCTCTTCATGCATTCATACTTCCTGCACCCAGTCCTAGACCCAACAGGGCTCTAGGGTTCCCACATTTTGATTTCTGGGCCAATGTCTGTTTGTTTGTTTGTTTGTTTCTTTTCCTTCTAGCCTACTAAAGATATTTGGTTGAATCTACACTTAAGCTTTTAAAATTTCCCAATTGAAATTCATGAATTTGGATTCAAGAGGGTATGAGATAGACCAGCAAATGTACTACTTCTAGAAACATACATCTTAAAGAAAGATTACTAAATGAGATAGAAACAATCAGATCCTCATCCAGTCATCTGGATTTGTAATAAAATGATACTTCAGTCCTAACATCTGCCAAGAACAGAGAAGAGACAAGTGGAACCGTCAATTCAGTTCAGCCCTGTGTGATCCAGGGATAATAAAGTGCAACATAGGTAGCTTTATCTCCTAGCAATCTTCCAGTGTTTGTCCACCTTCTTTATGTGGAGATGAAGCCAGAAGATTTGTGTGTGTGTGTGTGTGTGTGTGTGTGTGTGTGTGTGTATACATGTGCATACATGTACATACTTGTGCCAGTACTGGGTCTTGAACTCAGGGCTTGGTGCTCTCCCTTAGCTTTTTTGCTCACACCTTCACCTCTGTCTTTTTGCTAGTTAATTGGAGAAAAGGATCTCTCCCATTTGTCTGCCCAGGCTGGCTTTGAACCATGCCCCTCAAATCTCAACCTCCTACATAGCTAGGATTAAGGCATGATCTAAAAGCACCTGAAAAATAGAACATTTTTTAAACTCACATTTTCCTCTTACATTTGAGTTGTTCCCCATTTTCTTTGATGGCAAAGAGTGCTACCTTTCATTGACACTTGTAGCACTGATTGCCTGTCTGAAAAGAAGTGTACACAGAGAGAAAGAGAAAGAGAGAGAGAGAAAGAGGAAGAGAGAGAGAGAGAGAGGAATAAAGATCTGCTATTGTGATTCATGGAACAGAGCCTCTTGCTGTCTGTCTCTATACCTTAGGCTTCCTTTTACCTGGAGGATCTAGAACTGTTGGGACTGAGTCTCTCTCCCAGCCCCAGCCCCAGGCCCCTGGGTTCCCCAGGATACAGAACATGGCTCTGCCTAGCTCCCGGCCACTTTTTGTTAAGGCTATTGGCTGAGAACACCTGGCAGAGATCTTTCTCCTGACTTGAGGGGAGCTCGGAGGTAAACCTGTGATCCTTGATCTGTCTTTTCAGGACACTGTTTCGGTTCATAGACCAAGTTTCTATGCAGACCGATTTCTAAAGTTTATGAATTCCAGAGTTTTCAAGAAAATTCAAGGTAAGATGTTTGTGAGAATTTCTTAACTGTAGCATTTACTTGCTAACTTTGCCATGTCTCCGTGAAAGACTTTTGAAGAGCTAGAATTGTTTTCCTCTACAGCGGTTACTCAGTAATTACGGTGAAGTATCCCAATCAGGTATTTATTAATGCTAACATTAGTCCTGTTCATTGATGGAAAGAAAAATAGAAGCACTGTAGGATTTTCTTATGGCCAACTATACAATATATTGGTTATATATACTATTCAATCAGTGGAATATTGTTCAAGCAGTAAAAATGATACATTATTGGTCCTTCAAATATAGATTTATGTAGTTAATCGTCTGTATACCTCAGATACATACCAGAATTCAAATGCAATGTGAAATCATTTACAGTGTTATTTTCATGACACATTCTCTAAGGTAGACCACATTTTAGGCCACAAAATAAATCTTAATCATTTAAAAAAGATCATACCAAGTATCTTCTCTGAAGAAAAACTGGAAAATGTACAAATGAGTGAAAATTTTAAAGTAGCAACAGTTAAGAAATAAATCAAGAGAGAAATAGAAAAATCTCAATGATAAATGAAATGAAACAAACATACTTCTAGGTGTAGTAGCATATACCTAGAATTCCAACACTTGAAGGCCAAAAGAAGTGGGCCATGAGTTTGATACCAGTCTGGGCTACATAGTGAGACCCCATCTCACCATATGTACCAAGACTGAAACCAAGAATTAACCCCAAAGGCTAATAATGGCTATTCAAATTAAGGGATTGTGTGGGATCTTATTTTCATTTATTCTGTTTATTGCATTTTCTACAATTTGTATGTTGTATTATGTAGTAAGTTTGTAAACTGTGAAAGGCCATTCTACATATATTATGTTATCACTTAGTAATTCTGTGATTCAATTTTATAACCCAAAACATGATAAGTTAGGCAGCCTACAAAGACCAGGGAGAACCATGATTTAAGGCCAGCCTGACTCTGCAGAAAAGTTTCTGAGACCCCCTGCTTAACCCATAGCTGGGCACAGTGACACATACCTGACATCCCAAGATCTATGGGAGGCTGAGATTGATCTCTCATCCAGGACAGCCCAGGCAGAAAAGCCTAAGAGACTCTGTCTTCACCGAGGGAAACTGAACAAGACAGTCATGCCTGTGATCCCAGCAAGGATGAGAAGCCCAAAAGAGGCAGATAATGACTCAGTCTTAACCGGGTAGGAAATGAAAGCCTAGAATAAAAACAGTGAGTCTGGCACAGGTGGCTCACACCCGTAATCCTAACAACTAGGAGGCTGAGATCTGAAGATCCCGGTTCAAAGCCAGCCTGGGCTGCAAAGTCCATGAGACTCTTATCGCCAATTAACCACCAGAAAACTGGAATTGGAGCTGTGGCTCATAGTGGTAGAATGGTAGCCTTGAGCAGAAAGGCTCAGGGACAGTGCCCAGGCTCTGAGTTCAAACCCAATAACCAACAAAAAATAATACTAGTAATAACTAGGTAAAAAACAGGGCTGGTATCAAGCTAGCCTAGCAAGTGTACAACCCTGAATTCAAACTAGTCTCTCTCTCTCTCTCTCTCTCTCTCTCTCTCTCTCTCTCACACACACACACACACACACACATACACACAAAACAGCTACATATTGATATAACATTATAATATGAATAGCTTCCCATATTCTTAAATATTCTACAAAAACATTATTTAGAATTGCAGTCCAGGGCTAGGAAGGTGGCTCCGTGGTAGAGTGCTTGCCTCTCATGATTGAGGCCCTGGGTTTGATTCCTCAGCACCACATACACAGAAAAAGCTGGAAATGGGTGCTGTGGCTCAAGTGGTAGAGTGCTCACCTTGAGTTGAAGAGCTGAGGGACACCGCCCAGGCCCAGAGTTCAAGCCCTATAACCGACAAAAAAAATAAAAAAGAATTGCAGTCCAACATTAAAATTGAGCTGGTGGACTTACTTGAGTGGTATAGCTACTGCTTAACAAGCCCAAGGCCCTGACTTCAAATCCTAGTGACACTAAAGTGGCAGAAAGCGTGAAAATTATCCAAAGTGCTAACATGATTTAAGCACTCTTTTAGAACTGAGCACTTCTCCTTTTTTCTAACTGATGGTTTTATGAACATAAAATTTTCAAATAAATGTATCTAAATTAGGAATTATTTGCTTGGGATAGACTCCAAGAACGGATATTAGAATATTAAAATGCCCAAAACTACACAGAGAGACTGTATCCCTGAAGTTTCCCACAATTCTGTATTCTCCTAGAACCTCTGCCACCATTAAATTATGCTACCCTGATAAGTTAAAAAAAAAAAGTTATTTCTTGAGTACTGGGAAAGTTCAACCACTCCTCATGTTTATCTGCCATTCATAATTCCTTTGGGAATTGAGCTTTGTTGCACTTGTCCCATTTTTTATTAGGTCTTTGTTATTTTTCCAGATGATTTATATGAAGCCTACGTATTAAAGATATCAACTCCTTTTTGCCTTATTATTCTAAGAAAAACTTTTTTTCATATTTGACCATCTCAATAGCATCAGAATATTACTGTCAAATGGAGGGCACTGTCAATTAAATTCCTGCCTAAGGTGTTTGTGGCCTAAGATGGACCATAAGGTGGTATTTGTTATAACCACCAGCCTGAAGGAGTACCCGCTGCTGGTTCACCTTCTAGAGAGATTTCCAAGTTCCCTTAACCCTGGGCCAAGGCTGGAGATCTGAAATTTCTCTGCAGCCCCTCTATAGGGTTGCAAAGGATGTGACCTTTAACCTGTTTCCTTAGGAGAATCATCCCTCCAATTGTTTTTAATTTAATTTTATTTGATTGCCATGGGACTTGTATTCAGGGCCTGGGTTCAGGCCCTGAGCTTTTTTGCTCAAGGCTAGCACCCTACCACTTTGAGCCACAGCTCCACTTCCTGTTGTTAGGTAGTTAATTGGAGCTAAGAATCTCACGTCCTTTCCTGCCTGGGCTGGCTTCAAACAGCAATGCTCAACTCTCAGCCTCCTGAGTAGCTAGTATTATAGGCGTGAGCCACTGGCGCCCAGCTTGCTCCCAATCTTAAAGAGATGCTTTTTCTTAGTAGCATATCAGTCAATGCTAAAAGCAATGGCTTCTTTACTTCCCAAAACCATAGCACGTGTTACAGTCTTCCCAATTTGTATGGCTTAGCATGCTTTTTTTTTTTTTTCTTTTTGGACTCAGGGACTCATGGCTGCTCTACTCCTCCAGCCCTTTTTTCTTTTGGTTATTTTTGAGATAGGGTCTCACTTTTTACCTAGGCTAGCTTGGACCATGATCCTTCTTTTTATGCTTCCAATTATAGCTAGAATGACAGCTGCACGTCACTATACCCAGCCTTCCCTAAATAGAGATGAGGTCTCAGGGTAGCCTGGGCTATCCTCAAAGCACAGTCCTCCCAAGCTGAGCCTCCTGAAGAGTTAAGATTACAGGCATGAGCCCACCACACCTGGCTCTTATCATGCTTTTAATGCTACACGTCTTCTGCTTCTTCATCAATCTGTTGCCTTTTCCTAATGTTGGTTTTGCAGCCTATTTTTATAAGCTTTGTTAAGATATAATTCACATACCACCAATTTCACCTTTTCTTGTCCGTAATGGGTCTTGAATTCAGGATCTGGGCACTGATCCTGAGCTGTTTTGCTCAAGGCTAACACTCTACCACTTTGAACTACAGCATCACCTCTGGTTTTCTGGTGCTTAATTGGAAATAAGAATCTCAAGGACTTTCCTGCCCAGTCTGGCTTCAAACCAGGATCCTCAGATTCCCAGCCTCCTGAGTAGCTAGGATAACAGGCGTGAGCCACTGACACTCGGTAAAATTTGCCTTTTTGAAATATGCAGTTCTGTGTTGTTTAATGTGTGAAAAGAAAGACTGTCTAGCCGTCTGACCCAGAGCAAACACAGTCTTTCTCCTCATTGTTTCTGGGCCTACGAATAAGCTTAACTTTGCTCAATGCAGGTGGTTCATTTACTCACAGACTTCCAAACTCTAAAGCCTTCATCTACTAAAGTGGTTTATAATGATGAGAATATTACTATAAAATTGCTCAAGGGACAGATAAACCTGCCCCTCTGTAAGCAGAGATTGCCCTTTCTTTACTCATTCGGTCCTTCTCCTATTAAGTTCTTGCAATCTGCCTACCGGAAGGCCCCTCATGAGCAGTGTAGTCCAAAAGCAGAACAGAGTATCCCAAAGCTAAACTCTGATACCTTTGCTGTCTGCTCACCCACTTCATGCAAACCGCAGAGGAGGAGCGATACTGCTAAAAACAAGTGCAAAAACAAGAAGCAAGCTTCTACTTCCTTCTCCCTCTCCAGTTTCCTACAAGGAAAGTCTCTAGAAATGTTCCTCCAAGAAGAATCATTGCAATGGAAGGTAATATAAGAAGGGTTGATAGGTGGCTCATGCCTATAGTCCTAGCTACTCAGGAGGCTAAAATCTGAGGATTGCAGTTTGAAGTCAGCCAGGGCAGAAATGTCATTAAGACTCTTACTTCCACCAAACTACCACAAAAGTCAGAAGTGGAGCTGTGGCACCAGTAATAGAGCATTAACCTTGAGCAAAAAACCTCAGGGACAGCACCTAGGCCCTGAGGTCAAGCCCCAGGACTAACAGAAAAAGAAAAAGAAAGAAGGGTTGATCCATTTATAACCAAAGTAGCTTCCAGAAAAAGCCTTCTGTGAAGTCTCAGCCTCAGGCTAGCACAGATGGGGACTTTGGTTCTCAGTGGCTCAGGTCCCCAGCCCAGCTCTGAGGTTGGACAATGCTGACTAGACAAAGAAAGAGAGTGAATTATATACCTGACATGACCATGACCTAGAAAAGACCCAAAAGGTAGGAAATTTCAGGGGAAAGTCACAGAAAGCAGAAAAGCAACCAGAAGTAAGTTATCTTGGTTAACATTAATAAGATGAATTAATATTAATAAGATTAATAATAAATTAGTTAATGAGATTAAACACTGGCATGATTTAAAAGTCCCAGTCCCGAGTTACTAGGGCTGGGGTCATGAGAACTTGCCATACTCTGCTAGCTATGTTAATCAGCGCACCCAGCCTCCTCCCGAAACAATGTTTGCAGAAGGAAAAATAACTCCCTAGTAAGAAAATATATAAAGTTTGCCTCCCATAAGACTTCCTTTCAAATTTCAAAGAGAAATGCCAACTTGAATTTATTCTAGGATATTTAGGTCAGATCATTTTGGACAAATAGTTTGGTCAAAATGCAGACATGTTCTTCTCCCTTCGAGCGTGTGTGTGTGTGTGTGTGTGTGTGTGTGTGTGTGTGTGTGTGTGTGTGTGTGGTGTGGTATGTGTGTGTGTGTGTGAGATGAGTCTAGTGCTCTCTGTTCAAACAGTGACTAAAATGGTATTAACCATGATTGAAATATTAATTTAAAATAGGAATCGCATTTTAAAAGGTTTGGGGGTTGAAATAGGGTCCTGTTGTACACCCAGGCTTGTCTCCAATTCGACCTCTCAGCCTCCTAAGTACTGAGATCACCAGGCCTGGCTTTGACGTGTATTTTAATTTCTCTCCCCATGTTCTTTTCTGCCTAGCTTTGAAGGCTTCCCCTTCTAAGAAACGATGCAATTCAATTGCCGCCTTAAAGGCAACCTCCCAGGAGATTGTGTCTTCCCTCAGCCAAGAATGGAAGGATGAGAAGCGCGATTTGCTGACCGAAGGACAGAGCTTTAGCAGCCTTGATGAAGAAGGTAGAGACACATAACTTCCTAAAACAGAAAATTGTAAGGGCTGGGCCTCAAGTGATAGAGTTCCAGCTTAGCAAGCATTAGGCCCTGAGTTTAACTCCTAGTATCTTAAAAGAAAAGAAAAATTCTAGTCATGTATTTATTCAGTAGTGCCACATCACAGTAGAAAAACTGCAAGCTACCTGCTGAAAGCCATAGTCTATTAACTAAACATTAGAGGCTATGTACAGCATGGTGCAGTTCTGTACACTTTAAATGATACATAAACAGTATAACTTACAGTTTATGATAAAAAATTAAAAGGTAGTAAAGTATTCAAAAAGAAAAAAATCTATATTCCCACTACCTGATAGTAACAAACACTAATATTTTGTTTTCTGTACTCCTGGACTTTATTCTGTGAGTGAGCATCTATCATCTATCTATCTATCTATCTATCTATCTGTCTGTCTGTCTGTCTGTCTGTCTGTCTGTCTGTCTGTCTGTCTGTCTACTTATCTATCCCTAAGTGTGTATACATAAAAACATGTATCTGCATATATAAACAATGTAATAATAGCTTCTTCAGTTATTGAAGTACTCTTTAATGAAATGAAATAGAAGTTGTATAATATTCTTTTTGCATGCCATGAAATTAAATTTATCCCTGGAATAAACATAGAGACATTGACGTAGACATAGTTTTTTCTTTTAAAATAGTATCTTTCTGAAGAACTTCATGTTCCTGTTCTGTTGCCATTCCACTGACCTCACATATTTATTTTCTGTCTTGATGGCTAGGATTCATGGTAAAATGATGACTAGAAAATAATGGGTGCCTTCCATTATTCCTAGTTTTTTTAAAAATTATTATTATCTCCCCAAATAATCGTTCAAGGGAGTTTCAATTAAACACGCCCATTTATGTGCACAGTGCATCTTGATCAGTGACCTCTTCCATCATTTTCCATTCATCCCATTCCTCAGACCTCTCAAGTGTCCTGGGTCCTTCTGCACAGATGTACATTGAGTATTCTGGTTCCACTCACCGCCCCCCCCCATTCCTTTCTGTATTGGTCCACCCCCTCCATCAGCCTCCAGCCCTCCAGTCTCAAGACACACTTCAGTTCCTGGTACTCATTCTGTTCAACTTTCTGCTCATTGTTCAAAGACCTTGCTCTGATCTTATAAAGGGGGCTGTTCTAATGTTGCTTCATTGTCAAAGAAGTTTTCTTTTACTTGTTCCCCAAAGCCAGGTTAAGGAAGTTCCTTCCTTTTTCTTAGTTTGCTAAATTACAAACGTTGGTTTCTTTTCTATCAAGAATGAGTTCTGGATTTTATTAAATAGTTTCCTCGTGTACTTTCTTCTAATCCATGAAAAGGATTTGGTTTGTGGACTTTTTTTCCTCTCTCTCTCTCTTTTTTAAAGTGTCTTTAAGTAGTTGCACAAAGGAGTTGCCATTTAATGTGACAGTTTATGAATATAATGTATCTTGATCAGTGTCAACTCTTCCATTATTCTCACCCATCCTTCCCCTACCCACTTCTTCCCTCACTCTCCTTAATTTCATTGGATGTACATTGACTTCTTGACTTCATTGTCCCTTTCTTCTCCTCTTCATTTGTCTACCACTTTCCCCTTGACCCCATTCAACCCCTTTCGAGTACCCACTTTCTGGTGTTTTCTTTTGCTGAACTTTGACTTTGCCTTTCTAATGAATTACACTATGTGAGTTCTCCCTTGAATCTACCATATTTCAGTTAATACACTTGGGTACACTTGCAGACCACCCAAAGTATTTACTTATAGGTTTATAAATTAAATCTAGCTTCCACATAGAAGGGGAAATATGCATGTTCTGTCTCTCTTGTAGACTTTTCTGTTCATATATTCCTTTGAAAAGCCCAACATTGGGCTGGGAAGGTGGCTCAGTGGTAGAGTACTTGCCTTGCATGCCTGAGGCCCTGGGTTTAATTCCTCAGCACTACATAAGCAAAAAGAAAAAAGCCGGAAGTGGCACTGTGGCTCAAGTGGTAGAGCGCTAGCCTTGAGCTGAAGAGCTGAGGGACAGCGCCCAGGCCCAGAGTTCAGGCCCCACAACCGGACCCCCCCAAAAACAATCCCAACATTAATTCTAATTATTATTTATTATATTAATTAACATATTAATAATTATTATATCATAAATAGTAAATAAAATTATAATAATTAATAATTATATTAATTCTAATACTGTCTTCTACTTCCTACAGAAGTGAGAATTCTGGCAGAATCTCTTCTGTCTTCTCCTCGGTCTTCCGAAAGTGCTATACCAGCTTCTTCCTTCTTCTCATGAAGTAATATGTTTGTGAGCTAATGATTTTAACAAGAGTTAGCTATTTGTCAGTGGTCCTTTCTGAATTGGTGACTCCAATTCCTGGAGGACTGTCCTCTTCCTCTCAACATCCCTGCCTTATATCTCCCTGCCCTGCCCCTGCTTTTCTGAGCACACACAGGAAACAGCAGATTGTCTGCAGTCTGGGAAATTGGACAAATTTTGTTTTCCTTAGATAATTCTTGTCACTAAAACCTTGAGGATTTTTCTGTTTCTTTCTTTTTTTTGTTTTGTTTCCTTTGTTTTGAGGAGGGAGAGAAGGAAGGAAGGAAGAAAAGGAAGGAAGGAAGAAGGAAGGAAGGAAGGAAGGAAGGAAAGGAGGAAAGGAGAAAGGAAGGAAGGAAATGAGAAAAGGTAAGAGAGAGAAAGGCAGGAAGGAAGGGAAAAGGAAAGAAGAAAGAAAGAGGAAAGGAGGAAGAAAGGAAAGGAGGAAAGGAGAAAAGGAGGAGGAAAGAAGGAAAAGAGAAAGGAAGGAAGGAAATGAGAAAAGGTAAGAGAGAGAAAGTGAGGAAGGAAGAAAGGAAGGGAAAGAAAGTGGAAAAGAGTGAAAAAAGAAAGGAAGGAGGAAAGGAAGAAAAGAATTCAAAACATAATATTTACACAATAGTGCCTATTAGGGTCTTTTTCCATTTACACATAATCTTCAATGTGTTGTGTCTGTCAGACAAATCTAGAAACATCTTAAGGTGATATGGTATTTACTATCATGTAGTTTGGTTCTGTTGAGGAGAGACTATAAAGGATCCACTTAGGTTCAGACAGCATGAGAATGAGTCACTCTTGAGCCTGGAAGATTTCTCTTTTTCCAACTCTTCTGTGGCTATTTTCTTGTCCTTCTGAAATTTTAATAAAGAAATGAATCATCTCAGTTTTATGAAGTCTCTGTCTTGCTATTAAGATTTATGGTCAAGAAGAGCCCTGGATAATGTTCAGAGGTGTGTACGGGCTCACACTTGAAGTTTGATGGCCAGTAGAAGTGGATCGTTGGTTTGTTGAAGTATTGCATGTTGGCCCTAGAAAAGTCTGCTTAGATCTAAACTGAGACTCAAGGATGCGTGTTCCTCCTGAGAGAGCAAGGCAGGTTCACTCTTGTTAATACATCTGCCATTCATTTGTCTTAATCTCTCAAATTATCTCCTTAAGCTCCTAGGAGATTTTATGCCATCTTTTTGAAACGGTTAAGACACTTTATTGGGTTTTTAAGAGAACATTCTTAATATCATTTCCATAAGCCATTTGGTAAATTAATGCAATTTCCTTCCTGCTTAACCTGTTTGCCAGCAGCTCTTTTGCATTTCTGCCCTAGTTCAGAAGAGCACAGTTAATTCATAATTTTATTTGCAGGATGATATGTAAAATGAATGCATTTGACTCATTTAAATCACTAGAGATAGCAAAGCAGTGTGCTTTATGGAGATTCATGGGTGTATATGCCTTGTTCTCTCCCCCCCCCCCGCCCCCTCTCTCTCTCTGCAGCTCTAGGATCCCGACATAGGCCAGACCTGGTACCTAGGACTCCATCACTGTTCGAAGCTGCTTCCTTAGCAACCACAATTTCATCATCTTCTTTATATGTCACCGAGCACTGTCCACACGACAGGTCCACGCTTTATTCCAACAGGTAACATTTAATGTGATCTAATGGCAATCAGGCTGCTGCCCGTCAGCCTTAGGCCTGATGCAGTGTGTCTGTAAATGACAGCATGTTGTCACTAGCAACCAGTATGTGTCCGTCCCCTGCCTTGTCACTAAGAGAAAGAGGATATGTTTGATATTTCCTGTGGCAAAGATACATTTGAGGGGAAACCATCCTGTTGTCCCTTTACAGTTCATCATTATGTCATCTACAAACTATATTCTTGGCTCTACTGAAGGAGACACATCGTTCATCATTGTATATTGTAGTGATTCCTTGTGCATAGGTTCTCATAGTGAATGATACATAGATAATTGCAAACAAGTTTTCCCTCTCTGTTTTGTGCCTGTGACCTGCCTTAATGGCTGTGGTAAATAGCAGAATGGCTCCCAGAGTTGTCCATAGATAATTCCTGGAACAATTCCTGTGAATATGGCGCCGTACATAGCCAAAAGGACACCGTAGATGTGGTTAAGACCCTGGGGCTAAGGGTGTGGCTCAGTGTGCGACTGTGTGCTTCGCCTGTGTGAGGCAAATGAGCATCTGAAAACAGACGTGGTAGCATGAGCTTGTGATCCTAGCTACTTGGGAAGCTGAGATGGCCTCGAGATCTCTTGAGCCCAGGAGGACAAGACCAGCCTGGCAGTGTAATGAACCCTTGTCAAGAAAGAAAAAAATAAAGAGTTCTAACGTATGTCCTGGATTATCCAGATAGATCCAGCATAATCAAGATCTTTATAAGAGGAAGACCAAGGAATCTGAATTACAGAAAGTGGGAGTCAGAGAGAGAGATTGGATTTAAAGATGCTCGTCTATAGGGGGAAAGGAAGGGGTGACATTGTCCAAGAAGAAATATACTCATTACCTCATTTATGCACTTGCAATCACTCTGCACAACATCCTAATAATAATAATAATATATTTTTAAAGATGCTAGACCACCATCCTGATGGTAGAGGGAAGGAGTCGGGAACCAAGGAATGCCGGGAAAATCTAGAGGCAGTTCTAGGGAAGGCCATCCACAAAGAAATGTGAACCCTTCCAGCTGCTTGAATTTTGGGATTTTTCATCTCCAGAGCTATCAATACTAAATCTGTGCTCGTTCAAGCCATAAAGCTTGCAGTTCATTTCAACAACCATGAGGAACTAATCTAGTGACTCTGAAATAGGTAATGTGAAAATAAATATTGGAGTAGGTTGTTAAAATTTCTTAACCAAAAATGTAATTTTTATTTGGCCTTTGGTTTTAGTCATGGAAAATGGGGTCTTCCCTTGAGATCTTGCATGCTGGACTCATCCTTTGAGGTATCTGTGCCAGTTGCCCCTCGGTGTTCAAATGACCAGTGGGTTTGCTTCTGACTGATTTGCTTTCCTTAGAAAAGTGTACATGTCTCTAGGGTGAGCAAGCTATTAGAAAGAGCCACCAGCAAAATGTGATGTTGGCCATAATGGTGGTATTGTGAGGCCATCTTTGGTAGACTGAATACAGACATATTGGGATCAAGTGGGCTTTTTTTCTTTCTCCCAGTTAAAAAGAGTTTATTTAGCAAGGAAAAAGTGAAGGCCACTCAGGAGAGTAAGCAGTGGACCTGTTCTTCCTGTGGTTAAGGACCAGATGCTTTGTATTGTCCCTTCCCACATTTTCCCCCTCCCTTCTGGCAGTTTTTCAGATGGTGATTGGTTTGTTTGAAACAGGTAAGACCCGCCCCTGGGAAGTTGCCACAGGGTGATGGCTTGTAGGAGAGCTGACCTGGGTTATGGCAGGACCTAAGATCCTCCTATGGGTGGTAGCCACTGATTGGGGCGGTGGGGGGAAGCAAGCAAGCTGGCCTGAACTGGTTGGCTGATGTTTTCCTTCACCGAGTTTTCCTTCCCCCTGAGTTTTTCCTGACTTCCATAGACACGTGGGGGTGGAGCTCTGTGCTGGCAACTTCCTGCTGAATAGGGAGTGGTGACAGGGGTCCATGACAGCTGCCAGAGGAGACTCAAGGGAACTGGGGGATTTTTTTAAGCAGGTGTCCTCCGGTCCTTGGTGGTTAGTTTTTATGTCCATGATCATTTGTAGTTTGATCTTTCATTGTCTTTATCTCTACTCTACGTTGGGCACCAAGATGATGCATGGTCATGTTGGGTTCCTGTTCTCTGGTAGGATAGAAATAAAACCAGGGATGATGAGCACAGCTGTAAAGAGTTTATTTAATGAGGAGAAAGTAAAGGCCACTCAAGAGTGAGCAGCAGGACCCAGAAACCACCAAGAGGGACTTTTGATCTTCTCACCTACCCAGGCCTTCCGTTTCACTACCAATTGTGCAGGAAGATGGTTAAGAGGGTGAATATGGTGTAGAACTTATACAACCCTAAGTTGAGTTACTCTCTGTTTTGAGAGCATTAAGAATTGCACCGGGCACCAGTGGCTCACACCTGTCATCCTAGCTACCCAGGAGGCTGAGATCTGAGGTTCAAAGCCAGAGTAGGCAGGAAACTCTGTGAGACTCGTATGTGTAATTAACTAGCCAAAAGCCTAAAGTGGAGCTGTGGCTCAAGTGGTAGAGTGCCAGCCTTGAGTGAAAAGTTAAGGGTTAGTGTCCAGGCCATGAGGTTAAGCCCTAGGGCAAATACATACATACATACATACATACATACATGCATGCATGCATGCATACATACATACATACATACATACATACATACATACATAAAATAATGGCCTCTCTATTTTTGTAATGCTCAGTGTGAACCTTTAAAAGAACAGACTTCTTAAGTTTCCAAAATGTACAGCTTAAATACGCTATTTGCCTGAAATGAATGTGTCTAAAACAGCTTTTTTTAATTCCTCCAGTTTGCATGCTCTACACTTAGGACTGGATAGTGGAACTTAAAAATATGTATTCTGCTAGGCACCAGTGGATCATGCCCATAATCCCAGCAATTCAAGAGGCTGAGATCTGAAGACTGCAATTGAGACCAGCCCAAGCAGAAGAGTCCACGAGACTCTCATCTCCAATTAACCAGCAAAAAAGCCAAAGTGGAGCTGTTGTTCAAGCGATAGAGTGCCAGCCTTGAGCAAAAAGGCTATGGAACAGCACCCAGGCCCTAAGTTCAACCCCCAGTACTGGCGCGCACACACACACACACACATACACACACACACACACACACACACACACCACAAATGTACTCCCCATTAACATATTAAATATATTCTTTACAGATAATACTTTTTTGATCTCTAGTTAATTTTTGGAATATATTTTTTAAAGACTGGATTCTAAGAGACATAGAGGTTTTTAAAGTTATAAACAACAGTCTTTGAGGGGGAAAAAAGAGAAGAATTCTAACAGACAGCAGTTTCTCATTGCAGTATATAATTTAGGTGTAGCGCTACGTAGGTGTTAATTAGGACTTCGCAAAGTTAAGAAATCTAAAGATACTAAGTGCATAACAACTGCTAGTTGAGGTATTTGCAGCTTAACATGAATATGCATAGCACCATGTCAAAATGGGAACACAGATCACTAAACAGAAAAAAAAACGATTCATAAAGAGTTAAGATCACGTGTGAATTATCACATCCAAATTCAACACATTTCCTTTTTTTTTTTTCCTCTTTTTTTCTTCCCAGGCTGTCTGTTAGGTCTTAAAACCTAGTGGGCCAGAGGAGACTTAGATTAGAGTCTAGTAATATTCTCCGAAAGTGCTGTGTATGCAACCGAAGGGGGAACATGCTATAAAGAGATTTATCACTGTCAAGCTTCTTTTCTTACCGCCTGGCACATAGCTCCATCACCGCATTTATTAAAATAAAGTACCATAAACACCTTACAGCTACCCCATCAGCTGCACTATCAGAAGGAGATGTAATTACTTGCGGCAAAAAGCCACCAGTAGACATTTTATTAGAAAGAAACAAAAACAATGCACAATTTCAAGGAGAGATGCTACATGAGATGGTGGCAGGCCAGCTGCTGGGGACTCACACCTATAGTCCTAGCTACTCAGGAGGCTCAGATAGGAGGATCGCAGTTCGAGGACAGCTGGGGCAGGAAAGTCGATGAGACTCTGATCTCCAATAAACCACCAGAAAACCAGACGTGGTGCTGTGGCTCAAAGCGGTATGTGCACAAAAGCTCAGGAATAGTGCCCAGATCCTGAGTTCAAACCCCACGACTGACAAAACAGAGAGAGAGAGAGAGAGAGAGGAACACAGGTGAAATGCCCACAGAAAGCACCTCCTCATTTGCCCAGCCACAACACCAGAACTTAAGACTTGAAAAGCAGACCTCCCACTGGATGCCAGTGGTTCATGTCTGTAATCTTAGCTACTCAGGAGGCTGAGATCTGTGGATCACGGTTCAAAGACAGCCCAGGCAAGAAAGTCTCCACTAAAACTAACAAAAAAGCCAGATGTAGAGCTGTGGTTCAAATGATAGCGCCCTAGCCTTGAGCACAAAGAAGCTCAGGGGCAATGCTCAGGCCCTGAGTTCAAGCCCCGGACATGTGTGTGCACATGCACACACACACAAGAAGAATGAGGAAGGAAGGGAGGGAGGGAGGGAGAAAGAAAGAAAGAAAGAAAAAAGGAAGGAAGGAAGGAAAGGAAGGAAAGAAGGAAGGAGAAAGAAGAAAGAAAAGAAAGGAGAAAAGAAAGTAAAGCAGAACTACCGCCTGGCACCTGCTGCTCCCTTATAGGTAGAGACAGACCAAAGAGGACACAGCCAGCCATAGAGCTGAAGAAGTGGCAGGAAAACACCACCTCCAGAGACACTGCCAAAGAAAGAGGAAAGAAAATGAAGGAGACGAGAGCCAAGGCCTTCTGGCTTTACCTCCTCATCCGTCTCCTGCAACAGCCTGACTGGGGGAACTTGGAAAAGGAGCCTGTAGAACACAAAATGCCGCCCACTGTCGGCCCCAGTGATGTAAAGATGAGATAAGACAGAATATAAAGAACAGCCACAAGTGCAGAGCAAAAATCTAGGTAACAAATA